TCAAGCCCGATCGAAGAGGAGAACATGAGATGGATTGGGGAGACGACCGCAATCGGCAGCTCAGCCGGAAGGAAAGACAGCTGATAGAGAAGGCGATGAAGAAGGCAGAAGCCAAACTCCGACCAGTGGCTGTCGGAGAACTCTACAGCCCACCTCGCATCTCCAACCACCTGAAGAAGAAGGGCTTGGAGGTGGGCACCAGCTTTGACCTCCTCACCAGATGGGACTTGGCTCAAGAAGATCAGAAAAGGTCTTGCGAGAAGAGAAGCCAGAGGTTCTGCTCGTGTCGCCACCATGCACTGCATTCAGCCGGATGCAAGAGATCAACTGGGGGCGTATGAACCCCGAAAAGAAAATCCAGCTCCTTCGTACCGGCCGAGAGCATCTTCACTTGGCGACTGCTGTGATCAAATGGCAACTGAACCGGGGAGGAGCAGTCCTATTTGAACATCCAGATGGAGCCACCTCATGGCATGGCAGGAGCCTCACCTTCAACAAGTGGCCAACCGCACCGACGTCAAGTCCGTGGTGTGCGATCAGTGCACGTTTGGGCTCAACGTAGACGGCGCAGGCCTGAATCGGAAAAGGACCAGATGGCTCTCCAACATTCCGGAGGTGCTGCAAGCTCTGGACAAAAGATGCGATCAGAGCCATCAACGCGTCCCTCTGCAAAATGGAAGACCCAGACTAGCGCAAGTATACCCAGAGCTACTGTGCGAAGCAGTGGCCAAGGGCATCATGGCCTTCCTCAAGAAGAACCAGACCACCTATGTCATGGACGAGGAAGAAGAAAGCGGGGAGGGCCCAGGACTCTACGAACCAAATAAAGCCGAGAAGCGAGCCATCATGAAGGTTCATCGCTCGGTGGGGCACCCACAGAAGCAGGAATTCATCCGCTTTCTGAGAGCCGCTCGAGTCCGAGGAGAAGTTGTACGATGGGCTTCAAAAAGCTTCAGATGTGATGTGTGCGAAGCCAAAGCTCATCCGAAAATCCCAAGACCTACCGCCTTGCCACGAGCCTACCAACCTAGCCAAGTCCTTGGCATAGATCTGTTCTACGCGCCAGCGCCCGGCAGTGGCAAGCAAACAACTCCGGTACTGAACATGCTGGATTGGGGAACCAACTTCCAGATGTGTCAGGTCTTGGAGGGTAAGAACCCCGGCGAAGTGTGGGATGCCTGCGTGTCCACATGGGCACGAACATTTGGCCACCCCGAGGTGATCACTTGTGACGCTGGACGGGAGTTCCTCGGGGAGTTCATCAATCGGGCATCGGACGAAGGCATCGTGGCGCATCAGATCGGCTCCAAGGCGCCCTGGCAACAAGGGAAAACGGAACGACGAGGACACTTCAAGGAGCTGCTGGACAAAGCCCGGAGCGAGGTGGTAGTTCAGGACCTCCGAGATCTACAGAGGCTCATGGCGGAGGTGGAGATGGCGAAGAACCGGTACTCAAACCGGTCGGGCTTTGCACCGCTTCAAAGAAAATTTGCCAATGGCCGACGCTGCCAACCTCCATAATGTCCGATGAGGTGATCGACCCTACTTTGCTGGAAGGAGTGATCACCGATGACATCGAAAAGTTGCACCAATGCATGCACAGGATTGCGCGTAAAGCCTTTTGTGAGCACAACGCCAAGTCCACCTACAAGAAGGCTTTGAGGTCCAGACCAAGGGTGTGGACGGACTACAAACCGGGGGAGTACGCGTACGTGTTCCGGACGCCCAAGGTGAAGAAGAGAAAACACGGAGCCCCTCCAGAAGAAGCTGATCTATCCACCAAGGCTCGGTGGATTGGTCCGGGCATCGTGATCACTCCGGATGGAGCCAATCTGTGGGTGGCCATGTTGGGAGAGCTTTGGAAAGTGGCCCGAGAACAATGTCGACCGGATACTACGGATGAACGCACTGGCATCGAGGTGGTGCTGAACAAGTGCCGGGAGCTTGTTGAGGAATTCCGGCACGGATCACACCGTGCTGGCTACAAGGACATTACCCAAGAAGAATTCCCTCCAGAGGCTGAAGATGAAGGAGAAGAGCGGCTTCGACCCGAAGACCAAAGGAGACGCGTCGGGTTTCAATTGGAACCACGTGAGATGGCCGACTATGAGCCGGAGTACCCGGAGGGCATGATCGACCAGGAACCAGAAGAACCTCCAAAAAGGAGAAGGTCGATGATTGAGCCAGAACAAGAAGAAGTACCTTCCTCCGACCCAGAAGAGAAGGAGCAAAACGAATTGTTCAATCCAGCTTTCCCTGAAGGGGTGACGGAAACTCCACCTCGACCAGAAGGACCGCCACTTCCAGGAGAGCATCCAGATCCAGTCACACGACAGGCTATGAGGGACTCAATCGCCCAAGCAGATTGGCTAGATGATGTGCCCAGGCAGCCATTTGGGACCTATCTACCGATGGCAACAGAGGAATGGGCGACACGACCATTTGGCTCCGTACATGGCGGATGAAGCTGATGAAGAAGTGGACCAGAAGAGACTTCAGGCCATTGCCAATTTCAACCAAAAGAAGGCGGACCGGGACTACTGGGAATTTCGACTACAAGAAGGAGAGGTGAGAAGGCATCACCTTCGAAAAAGGAAAGCCCACTACGATCCGCGATTCACGTCTGAGCTGCCATTCCCTGCCGAGCACCTGGAGGCAAGAAGAACTGTGAAGATGAAGACAAGAGGACAAGAAACTGGGACGAAGTCAATGTGGCCAAAGAGAGTCCAGCAGATCAGGAAGAATGCAAACAGTCAGACCTGGCAGAATGGAACAAGGTGACCAACAGTGGAGCTGTTCAAGTGCTTGATTTGGACACCTCCAGGCGTGTGAGAAAGGAGCTACGGGAGCAAGGACAGGAAGACCGCATTCTCCCGACTAAGATTGCAAGAAGGTACAAGCCAGGAGAACAGCCGAGTGAAGCTCCTACGAAGAAGTCCAGGCTTTGCGTTCGAGGAGGCCTGGACCCTGACATACTGGATCTCGAGAGGTTTTCACCGACGCTGAACACGGTGCTGCTGCAAGTGGCGGCAAATGAGGGCATGCGGGCGACAGTGGGCGACTTGAAGAACGCCTTCTGTCAGAGCCAACCTTTGAACAGGCCCAATGGAAAATTGTATTTCGAGCTGCCCAAGGAAGGAGTTATTGGCATCCACCCGGAGCAGATTGTGTTGATCATCGCTGGATGTTACGGCCTGGTTGATGCGCCGCTTCACTGGAGGAAGTCCCTCACGCAAGACCTGCAAGGTCTGGGATATGAGATGTCGGCTTTAGACCCTTGCATCATGAAGCTCTATGACCGGGACCGCAGGAAGTTGTTAGGAGCGATCGCCATCGAGGTCGATGACCTTTTCACGGTCGGCCATGAAGAACACCACCGACAGATGGACCGACTCCGCCAGAAGTACACCTTTGGCAAGTACGTTCAGCTCCAGCAAGAGAAAGATGGATGCGCCTTCAACGGGAGGCGAATCAGGCAGCTCTTAATGGTGGCTTCCTCATCGACACGCAGAAGTTCGTAGAAGAACGTCTTCACCCCGTGCCTTTAGAGAAGGGTCGAAAAAGGGGACAGGAAAGCTTCAGCCAGTGAGACCGAGGTCAGCATGGCAAGGGCAACATTCGGGGCCCTCAACTGGCTCAGTCGTGAAGGAAGGCCAGACGCTGCCGGGCCCTCAAGCTTGATGGCTTCGAAGCTCTCCAAGCTGGTCGTGGAGGACATCATTCAGCTCAACCAGGCAGTGGCAGAGCTGAAACAAAAGGCCACCTTGAGCCTACAGATCCAGCCATTGAAGAAGATGAGAATGAGCGTGATCACAGACCCTTCCTTCGCAAACAATGGGTTCCACTCGCAAGGAGGGCGCCTGGTGATCGCCCACGAGAGCGGCCTCCGAGACGGCCTGTCCGCCACTACCAACATAGTGGCATGGCGGAGTGGCAAGCTTCAACGGGCGGTCAACTCTACGTTGGCGGCTGAGAACCAGAGTTTGTCGAGGGGATTGGCCGAATTGATGTGGGTGATGGTCCTCATGCAGGAGATCCAGGACGGCAAGTTCAATGTGAAGGACTGGCGCAAGCGGCTCGAGGCGAAGGAGCTCACGGTGATGAGTTCTGAGAGGACTGAGGGGGCTTTGAAAGAGGCCTTGGCGGTCGTAGATGCGAAATCGCTCTACGATTACTTGTCCAAAGACACCCTAGAGGGTCAAGACCGCCGCACGGCCATAGAAGTTCAGATTGCGCGCCAGGATCTCAGAGAGGTCGATGGATCCATCCGATGGGTTCACCACCTGGCAATGCCAGCCGATGGGCTGACGAAAGTGCAGTGGGGACTGTGAAACTGACGTCGGCATTCAACCCATGGTTGATTCCAATTCATCCTTTGACATGGGCCCAAAACCACAGGGGCCGTAGTTCCATCGAAGACCTTTCAACCTTCGGCCATGGCTTTTGGAAAAGACTCCGCTTGAACTCCAGTGGAACCACAGTCCCACACAAAGAGAGGTGCACTTAAATGTAACCAAACCCAACTTCACACATCACATACCAGGTGAAATTGCACATATCCCAGGCCTGGACACACCTAAGTTACATTTTGTTCTGGGAGTCAGGCCCATGTATGTTCCACTATGACCCGGGATATAATGGACAAACAGCCTCACACAAACAGCCTGACATGTGACTTAATGCAAGTTACATTTTCCCTGGAAAAGGCCTGAAAAATGTAACTTACACGATCCCCTATTTAGTTACATTTTTGTATTGAAAAATGTAACTTAAAGTATTTACATTTTTTGTGGCTTGCCTAACAAATGTAACTTACATTTTGTTAGGTCTATGTTAGGGGAAAATGTAAGTTACAATTGTTCAGGTCCCCCCACAGAATGGGTAGGGATATGCTAAGTGCTTTTGTATTTTCATCAAGATAAACCGAATCTAGCTCCCAATCTGGAAACTCCTTCTCCCATGTAATAAGCCTTCTCGTGTCTCACTTGCGGGGTTCTGAGGTCACCACTACATCGGTTCCGTGGCATTTGATCGGACTCTCAAGTTCTGGTCCACCCAGGCGGGGGCGATGCCTATCTGAGGGAACAGGAGATCGCTCCTGGAAGTTTCACTCGATTGCGCAATTGACGACTTGGAAATCTTTGATTTGAGGCTTAGATCCTTTCCACTGGTTGAGAGGGTTTGACGGTGAAATTCATCCATGTCAATGATTATGCGCGATTTTTGATGTTGTTAGTTGCTGTTTGTTAAGCTTGCCAGGGCAAAGCAGAACCTCCAGTCGATGCCACCGCCTTTATGACCTGAGAGTTGTGCAACACCCTCGACTTCCACAGCTGCTGGATCTCTTAAAGTCATGATGTATGGACATTAGAGTGTGAGTGTCGAAGGAGTGTGTTTGTTGAGCCAATGAAGCTGGAAAGCAGCATGTGTCGCTGTCCCGCCGATTTGCCCAGGGTGATTTCTTGAAGAACGAAGCTGCAGGTATATAATTATCATGGAAATCACCCAATGAACGGAGACAAATAAGTAATATGAGAGTGCCAGCAAAGGATGGACTTGCTTAGACGACTGCAGGCAAGCTCAGAGACAAGCTTGTTTGGGTGAGGATCCCGTGTTTCATTGTTTCATGAGCAGAGCAGGGTAGAGCGGGTTGATTCTACGAAAACTTTGCAAGCCACAACAGAAGTTTGAAAGTTTTGATGTTCTTGTTCATGCCTGCGTGGCGACTTTTGGCTCGACCAATCGAAGCAAAGAATACTTCCGGATCAGCCATTTCAGGCTAGGACCTCTTGAGAATCTTCTCACCAACATCACAACATCCATCACATCAAGACCTGTAAATGCAAATGATATGCAACTTTGCAATTGGATTAGGACATTTGAATGACACTTAGAAACAGATTCTTGAGGAGTATAGAAGAGCATAGAAGAGCTACACTGCACGGACGAAATGAGTGTGTCCTTGCAAAAAGCATGTGACAGCATATGTGCAAATCTATACATACATATAGTATGTCAAAGTTCTGAAACACATCCGTGGAGCCCCTCAGCCACTCACGTAGCTCATCATGTCGTCATCCAGCTTTGCAGGTCCAAGCGCCAATGGCAGCGAATCAAAAACCTAAACAAAGGGCTCCGTGAAGGTTGTTCCTTCGCGTTAGAAGTAGTTACCTACGAAGTCCCAGAATCCAGAGTGGACGAAGACTAGTCTGTCTTAGTCAGCAATGAATGTGTTTGATGCTGACATGCCAGCTGCCCAGCTATCTCTAAGCATCTAAACTTCGCTATCATTTGAGCGTTCAAACCTGCTTCATACTTTGCATTCAAGCTGGAGAGGACCCGATTGACCTGTTTGCACACATTGGTGAGCAAATTGCCATGACCAAAACTTCTTCCGATTCGGCGTGGCTCGTTTGTGTTCACAGGCGCAACCAACATGAAGCCACAAAGAAGCTTTTGAGACAACTATGCGTTACACCTAGTTCTAACGAAAGTCCTTGACGGACCGTGTGAAACAGACTCGTTTAGAGCGGCCTTTAGCAGGTGTGAAGCGGACGGCCTTGAGCTTCAAAGGCGAAGGTGGAAAGGAGAAGAAGAAGCGACGGACCAAGGCCCCTGAAGAGTTGGAAGTTTGATGTTACTAGTAGCGTCCTGGTTACTAGTAGCGTCCTTGCTCCTAGTAGTACGGCCAGGAGCCCCTATAGTAGCGTCCTTGCTCCTAGTAGCGATGCCCTTTGCTCCTAGTAGCTACTTGCTCCTAGTTGGTTCCTTTGATGGTTTCTTAAGATTGTAGTTATATTATTGTTTTCCCGCCTGCCAGGTGAGGGTTGTTAGTTTTTGTAACTCTTATCTCCTCCTCTCCTCCACCTCAACTGCAAGTGTGAGAGATCGCAGTGGGCACTACTGGACCTCAACGGCCAGCGAGATCGCAGTGGGCACTAGCAAGCGCCAGATCGCAGTGGGCGCTACCGGACCTCAACCGCAAGTGCCAGATCGAAGTGGCCAGACTCCTAAACACACAACACACAACCACAACATAACCCCAAGCACACAAGAAACAATACACAAACACAAAGCACCACCACAAAAAGACAAGCCAGTGAGAAACACAATCAGAGACACACAGCCACAAGCACAATCACAAACACACAACTACAAACACACAAGCCACAAGCACAATCACAAACACACGACCACAAACACATAGCCACAAGCACAATCACAAACACACAAACCAAATGCACGACCACAAACACAACCGCATCCCCCAACCACAAACACACAACCACAGCGTAACCACAGCGCACAACCACACCACACAGCCGCAACACTGAAACACAACCACAAAGACACAACCACAAACACACAACTACAAACATGAAACTACAACAATATATTTACCTACGGCGCTTTGCGTGGCAGGCACTTTTGGATGCCAACTGGAGACCCTGGCGACACCCCGACGCTAACTCCCTAACACTAAAATAGCAGTCCCAAACCCGAGGGCCCACAAGCAAAATCGAAAACCACAAGACTCACGACCATGGCAACATGGGCCTCACCATGGCTTAGCAGCTATTGATTGAAATGTTACAGCGGGGATCACTCGAAGTAAAGTAACTGAGCTTGTTTGAGGGCTGGATTTTGATTGTCTTGCGGGAAGTATAGGTTAGGTTGTATCTATACGAGGCACGGTCGAAATTATGGAAGACTACACAAGTAATTTAAGAGATGGATGTGGGAACCTTGGCCGAGAAGCGATAAGATGCTCACCAAAAAGACGATAACATATAGAGCCTGAAAAACGACAACAAAACAAACTGGCCAAACCCTGATGTCATTAATTTTGACTGCGTAGCTCATTTGTATATCTGTTAGCATTTTAGGGGCCTCATCGTTGTGGTGAACTTGGGTGATGCCATATATATCCATATATTAAGTTTATGTATACACACACTGCTTTGGGAAGAACCTACTTAGAGATCCTCGAAGTGATAACACATTTTTTGGGGAAGTGAAAAGACTGCTTCGTGTACTTAGAGAATTCCGGGCAATCTTGAATTACGTGTAAAGCTTTCTGGAAGTAAGAAGTAAGACTTCACAGAAAATTCCAAAAATCTTACTCCTTCTGGTCTTTGATTCTCAAAAGTACGCAAAGCACGGTGAATTTGAGGGCTCCAAATCCAACGTTGCCGCCGCTGCTGGCGCCTGCAAGAGATGACGTCTGCGCGAGGGCACGGACATGGGGCCGAAAATACGCGCAACGCGCCAGCAGTGATGCGTTGAGCTTTTGTTTAGCTGGTTGTTCACTGGCTTGCTGGCGCGTGGACTGGATTGCCTGGTAGCCTGTTTGCCGGTTTGCTTGCCTGCTAGATTGCTTAGTTGCTGACAGGGATTGTGGTGAGGACATGCGCTGACGGCGGCAGTTCGTTGAGAGGAAGCAGCGCGGTGGTGTAGGAGAGCTGAAAGGAGTGCGGCGGGTGTCCCCAGCAAGACTGCTGGAACGAGAGCCGTGGATCCAATGAAAAGACTCAGGCGAAGATGCAACGAATTCAAAAGTGGAATGCCAAGACCTGCAATGATGGGAGGAGTAAAAGTTCAATACGACCAGGCCTCGCGCAAGAACCATGCGTTTGCACGTGTGACATGAACTACAAACAAAATGGCAGGAAGCCTTTAATCGCGCAAAATGAGTACGGCGCATAAACTCAGTGCTCAAAGAGCGCCACAGTGGGACGATGCTGCGAATCACATCGAATCACGCTTAGGATACAGTTCAAGTGAGCACAACTTCAGAGACTGAGTCTACTGACGCATGAACGCTAGACCTTAGTACTCTCAAATGTTGAAGTCGTGGCGACATTCAAGTTTTGAAGCGTTTGCGTGGGGATTTGAATCTATGGAAGTCGTGGCGATGTTGCGTTTTGTGGCGAAGACAAGGCAGCGGCAAACAAAACGACGCAGGCAAACGAGTGGGGAGGCAGGTGGGGAAACAAGTAAGGAGACGAGGCAGCCGCGGCAGACAAAACACCGATCACAGCAGACAAGCGGGGAGACAAGAAAGAAGGAATGAAGGAAAGAAAGAAGGACACGGGCGAGAGCGTATACATGATGAGGTAACTAGAGGCTGGGCTTTCCTTGGTGGCAGGGGTTCTGACCTCGTTCACCCTCTCGTTCCGATACCTCTCTGCAACTTGTGTGATTCAAATAAAGTGTCCAGAGCCTGGTCCAAAGAGATGCCAAGGGACCACAAGGAGATTAACGTCATTGCTAAATCATTGCGTTTCCATGCCAGAAGCTTGTTGTGAATACATGAAAACTGTGCTTCGGGTGGAACTTCTGAACACATCAAAAACATTGCCACATCATCACGTTTACATGCGGGAACCTCATTTTTGCACGACGTGGCTAAGTGACATTTCCAAATGATTGCGTTTACATGCGGGAACATTGTGTTGAATACGTGAGAACTGTGTTGGGGAGAACACACCAAAAACATTCACAAGTCATCGCGTTTACATGCGGGGGCAACGTTTTCGCAAGGACTATGCCGGGACCCCCCTCTTGGCGTCGCGTTTACATTGGGGAACACAAGTTTTTTTCCTAGTACGCCGTGACTTCCGCGGCTGAGTGTACAGATTGGACCTTGGCTGAACTAGCTCGAACTAGTTGTCCTGAAGGCTTGCGAGTTTCAAGGAATTAAGTAGCCACGTGACCTTTTCAAGGTACAACTACCTCCTTCACCCCTTGGTATGGTCACTCATGTACTTGACGCATTGATTTAGTAGTACCTAGCCTAGCAACCACAACAGAAATCTGAACCTTGAAGATATCAAAACCCCTGATTCTGCTAGAGAGAATAAATTGCCAGCAGAGGTTTGATAAGAGTGGTTTCTGTTTTCCATGATGATCAGCGTGGCACTGTTAGTTCAACGCATCCTGACAAATGAAACAAACGTGTCTAGCTGCTACTGGGCGGCCAGGCTAATTAAAGCCGATCAGTAAGCCTAAATGGTATCCCAATGGGACGGGCTCGACCCATGGCGGCCTCACGCCCCTGATCTACTGCGAACGAGCGCGCAAGGTTTTAAACTAGGCAGGAGCAAATTCAGGAAGTAAGTTTTTGCGGCAAGAGCGCTTCCAAAGACAACATCCGGATGCCAAAACGTAGCTTTCGCTCGAGACTTCCGATTTCTGAAAACGAACCACATGTCCAAAGATGTCCAAAGGTCGCGACTGACTCACTGCACCGGCCACGAAATCAGAGCGCGCCGGAGAGCGCCATGCCCAAAGCGCTGCGCCTGCCACGAAGTCTGCGCATCGAAGTCGAACCGCTCCGATCTCCTGCGCCTGCCACGAAAAGCCGACATGGACCACCAAAACACGAAGCTTCCCTTCTGCGCCGCCCGCCACGAAAAGTGGCCCCAAGCCCGAAAATGCGAACGGCGCCGCAACGAGAACGCAGTCAAGGACAGCGCCCGCTCAGGCCGACCAGATTCTGCGAGCATGCATTTGAAATGCACTTCGAAGATTTCGAGGTGAAAAAAGGCATTGCAAATGGCAACGAAATGCGGTACACGAATGCGAGTGCCTCCGATCAGACAACACCCGGCCTTAACGCTTAACCGGCTCTAGTGTGACCACACTGTTTGGTAAATGAAAAATCCTTGGGCCCGCAGGCGCGCAGTCAAGAAGGAACCTTGACCACCCATAGCCCCAAGACAAGATCTTGAAGAAATGTCCGTGGACAAGCCGATCACTGGTTGAAGGACCTCTCCAAGTGAGCGCCGCAAGCCTATAATGCCATGGCCTAAGCTACCCCATGAAGAGCCTATCAAATAGGTATCTCTATATATTGTTTGGAGGTCTGTTGGATGCAAGCGCAAAAACGTTAGGACAACTACGAAGACTACTGTACTGTAATTTTCAAGTTGTAATTAAGAGCTTAACCTGGAAACTACCAAACTGGATGTGCCTGAGATAGTCAACACAGCACAACAGGCATGATATGCACTTTGGTCAAGACTATGTCATATCTAGTCCTTCCACGCTAGACCTTTAGCAGCAATATCAAACGCTCTCATGAAGTTGCGTTTTTTGGGTTTGTTTACTCAACTGGGCTATGGTCACTACATGTCGACCATATTGCGCATGAAAGCAGCCTAGCTTTGCAATTTATCCCACATCCCATTTTTATGCCGCTCAAAGACGCCGTTGTATTTTGTGATAGAGCTACTTGAATACTATAGACAACAAGAAATTCTTTGAGGCTGCTGACACTCCCGCACAAGCCACGCAAGGCAATGATGTAATCATTTTCGCATTGGCGCATGCACATGTGTTAACATGTGTGTTGAAGCTGACGTATTACGATTGTCTCTACTTGAGAAAAATGTTACATGATACATCAGTAGAGTACACATTGTTCAGCGTGACAACTCATATTGATGGCAATGAGCCATATTTCAACGCACAGCACACTGCTGGGTTTAGCTTAGTAGATGAACAATGCACCAATAGATGTAAGAAACAAAACGTTTCCTCTTGTTTCGTACATCCGCAGGGCATGGTTAGAATGCAATCTGGATGAAACTCAAAGAACTTGCAATACGGAAGACGTGGTGGAGCAGCCCAAGAACACAACAACACGGCACGGTAGGCACTGGTGCGAGCACAAGAGCCCGTAAGCAGGGACAAAGGGTTCCGATACTTGGCTGGTTTACTTGAGATTAACCAGTTGCTAGGTAATCATTCACCTCTCTGATAGTGCTGAATCTCTCAAGGGCTAGACCACTGATGCTTTGCTCTTTTGGGCCTCAGGGATGAGCCCGCGCTTGTGTATTGATTTCCAGGGTTGAAAAGGGAGTTCGCTCATTGTAGTCACTGCGTTGGACTGTCAGGGCTGGCTTTGTTGCAGCAGTCCTGGGAGAGTGTCAAGAGGGAAGTAATTTACAAACTTAAGCCTGCTGGTCTTCAAGCGCGGACTCTTTCAATTTCTGCGAAAGAGCAATTCTTTTTTGCTCGTCTTCGACCTCAAACATTTTTGGAGGTTGAAAATGAGGAGCCAGTGGACGCAGAAGGGCAGGTCAGGGCTGCGGCCACAGAGTCATTGTCTCAGACAGCAACGAGCAAAGCTAAGCCTTGGAGTTCGTTGATGCTGATACAGCAAAAGTACACGAATACATACTGGAAACTGTACAGTGTACTTTATATATGGAGTTGGTTCTTTCTCCCCACATCTCTCAAGCCGAGTCTACCATTTCCAGAAAGATGTTGCATCCTTTGGCATTCCTTGCTTGGTCTGAAGCAGCGAGGTCGGATGTCCCAGTAGTTCCAGGCCGGGCTTGAATGATCGCGCTTGCCATAAAAGAAGGAACCTCGGCAGGTTCAGGACGCATTGTCACCAATACCACGACGGTACATGGTTTCGAGACCAAGTTCAAGGACGAGTCGGGCGCTGAGAGCGGAAATCAACGGCGCGCGCGACTGGGATAAGTTCCAGCGCATAATTTTAAAGGGGGTGGGGGTAGAGAGACATGAAATGATGCTGTGAATATGATGCGTTGTGTGATGATGTGGTGTGGGGGTTGAGACCTGTCGCCTTGACATGTCGCTACAAGTCTCTACTTTTCTGAGCATCTCCAGAGCTCTACTACTCTCCAGCCTTGTCTACAGAAATGTCTACATTCTACACTCTTTGAAGGATTGCCAGATTGCCTTGTGTGGATATCCTGCGCAGAACGGATGCTCAGATAGAGGGAATATCGCAGGTGATGAAGCACAGATTGCACGGCAGGCGCAGCATTTTTTGAAGCGCAGTGCAGATTTCGCGGCAGCAGCGCTTTGTGAACGTTGCAGCGCAGATTCTGCGGCAGGCGCAGCGCTTTGTGAAGTTGGAAGGGCGATTTCGTGTGGACGCAAAGGTTGTCAAACGTGTGCTAAGGCTGCTAAGTCACAATTGCTACGGTGTGATGCTGCAGCCCTGGCTCAGCTCAGCCTTCAGATGTCTTTTCTTGAGATTCCAGGGCAATGGCAATGGCCTCGTGGCCGGACTTCTTAAAGAAGGTCAAATTTCCGAGCCTGGGCAAGGCGGGCGGCGGCAAACAATTTCTTGTCTCACAGACAAGCTGAATGTAGCTGCAGGTCCGGCTGAAGGATACACAGAACAGAACAGCTGATTGAAGACAAGCTTCCCAACGAATTGCCAGCTCAGGCATGCGTCCGTCGTGCGCTTAGGGCGGTGGAGGCGGTGGCTCAGGCTCGCTGAGTGCGTCAAG